CCATGAGGGCCCATTGCTGGCTCATGGATGTTGTTACTCTTCCTGTCAATTTCAGATTCAGACAGTGCAAAACATGGCCTTTTTCCTTGGGGGACACTTCCTGGTTATGCTCAGCAGCCTGGGAGATCTCATTATGGCCCTTCAGCCCTTACATTGAATTATTCTGCCTCCAAATAGCTGTGGGAAAGGAGCAGCTTTGGGGACTGATCCTGATGGCTTAACTCTCAGAAACAGGGGCTGTCACTAGGACCTCTGGGGACACAGGGAACAGCCGGGGGCTGAGGCAGGTGAGGTGCTGCGAGCCAGCCATGCTTGTCCCCCCTGGGCTCAGATGCTGCTCATCCTGCTCAGGCTCCTTAGGACCTTGTGTAAAACCTCCTGCAGATGGTGGAGGTCTTCACACCAGCTTCAGCCTGTCCTGAACTGGCCGCTGTGGGGGGGACCCCAGCCACACTGGGGGGATGGAGCCTGTGGTTTCTGAGGTGGTGATTTTTCCTCCCCTGAAAACCGACATCTGCGTGGCTGTTATTGCTTCTCGTGGACCCACACGCAGAGCAATAAACGGGGACAGCTTTCCCTCCATTTACCCCCAACGAAGAGGAAACAAACAAACGAACGAACAAACAAACAAACAAACAAAAAAAAAACCCCTATGGCGAAACTAACCTCACTAAAATAAATAAATCCCGGTGAAAAGAAAAAAAACCACTTGTATCTGCAATGCTCAACCCACACAGCTGGAAGGACGATCGCTATAGGATGCTCTATATACAGGTAGGGTTCATTTCAGTCATGCAAATGTTACAAGTACCACGACAGCATGCCCGAGGAGGCGGCCGAGGTGGGACCAAAGCCCCCGCCGCTCCACGCAGCCTCGGCTGAGGACACTGGACACGAGGTTGCGGCTGTGCATCCCCGAAGCACGGAGGGGGGGAAAGGCGAAGGGGCAGGTGGAAGGGGAAATGCAAGTTGTACACACATCGAAACAAAACAGGGGAAAAAAAAAACAACCCAACCCCAAATCAATGACGAAAACGGTTTGTGTTCTATCCTTAGAAAGCTCCCGATTTCCCCTCGTCTTCAGTCCGGTCTCGCTTCTCTCCAACAGGGCCAGAGGGGACGTTCCCGAGCGGCGAAGGCAGGCGGATGGTGGTGGGAGGTCAGGACACTCGCTGTCCTCTCCTTCCCTCACCCACTGCTCTGTTTCTCACCAGCTACTCTGGCCTTCCCCGTACCGATGCGCCCCGCTCGCCTTCACATCCATCCTCCCGGGGCGCT